GAAACAGTCTTGTGGACGTGGGGGGAAGAGAGGGTGGGACGGATGGAGAGAGTAGCATGGAAATGTGTAACTTCCATATGTAAAATATACAGCCAGTGGGAATTTGCTGGATGACTCAGGGAAATCAGGGCAGCAATGGAGACTCAGACGTAGGAAACAGTCTTGTGGACGTGGGGGGAAGAGAGGGTGGGACGGATGGAGAGAGTAGCATGGAAATGTATAACTTCCGTATGTAAAATATACAGCCAGTGGGAATTTGCTGGATGACTCAGGGAACTCAAACCAGGGGTCTGTGATAACCTAGAGGGGTGGGATGGGGTGGGAGGTGGCAGGGAGGTTTAGGAGGGAGGGCACACATGTGTACCTATGGCTGGCTCATGTTGGTATATGGCAGAGACCAACACAATACTGTAAAACAATCATCTTTCAATTAAAAATAAATTAATTAAAAAAAAGATCTAGTAGATCCTGGACATGGTTTGTCTATGGTTCTTCTATGCATTCAGCAGACTGAGGCCGCTGCTTCACACAAGCATAATGAAAGGACTGGTACTTGAAGCGTACATTCAGAGGTGATCAGATCCAACATTCTTCTCGTTTTCTCTTCTTCCATGGTTCTCCTCTGTTTTCACGCCTACCCACACTGTAGCAGGTACTAAAGGCGCAAAGGGCAGGTGGTTTTTCAAACACCTCTGTCTTAGGGTAAAGTCTAAGAGCTCTTCCTTTTCCCCCAGGGCCCCCACACTGAATCCATATTCCAAAAACAAAAATTGCAAAATCAGAATAAATGTTTAACTAAATCTCCACAAAACAACATGTCCATCAAACTCAAAAATTACTCAAGTCTTAGATGGTTGCACATCAATTTCTAGTATGCAGTGTAGGTTCATTTTAATATCTTTGATGTGATATAGGATGCGACTTCTCAATAAGCTTACCTGGGGCCTGCAGAGGCTTTACAGCATCCTTTTCTGTGGCTTCAGGTTGGCTCCAGCGCCTGGCAGAGCCTGCGATGTGTGCCCAGCCTTCAGTGGCTTCTTCTGGACTTGCTTTCTGAACACTGGGTGGCAGCACGGACCTTCCAAAGCTTTCTCCAGAGTCTGAATGCAAACCTGAGCAGTTCCACCTTAAGACGGGCCATGCACAGAAGCATGCAAAAAGTGCAGTAATTCTTGGACGTGGCTAATCTCTATAATTCACCTGATTGCAGATACAAGTGACAGCTGCAATAGGGGTGATGTTCACTCATGCCTAGTGTCACTGGGATGCTATTTCGAATCTTCCTGAGATTAGAAAAAGGATTACAATTGCCCCCAGGGCCTTGCCATGTAATTTTTATCAGTCTTGATCAGTGAGTTCCCCCAGGCAGTGTGTGTGTGTGTGTGAGTGTGTGTGTGTGTGTGTGTGTGAGATGAGCAGCCCATGATGGGAGGGGAGGCTCCTGGGGACCACGCAGTCCATTTTTCTTCCCCTGGGACCAAATTTCCAGATTGGCCTCCAACCTCAGAACTCTTGCCTTCTCACCTTTGTTATGTCCCAAGCTCTGTTGAGCAGGGCCACTTCATGGACTTATTCATACAACCCATGCAGTTAAACAGGACCCAGTGCTCAGAAGCTTCCTGCGTTTGGTTTAATCCTCTGCGGCTGTCTTAAAATTCTGAATAATTTCTAAATAGGGGCTCCTGCATTTTCATTTTGCTGTCAGCCCACTGCATAAAATGGCCAGTCCTCCAGGGGAGAAGTATGGTGGTTAGAGGCAGATTTTTTTCTAAACCTTAACTAAATTCTCTTTTAGCCTCCTTCAGCAGTTGGCTTGACTTAGAATTGGAAGCGCAAACAGCATGGACTTTTGATCAGATATACTGGAGTGCTGGTGTGGAGCCCACTTCTTCATACCCAGATGACCGGGAGCATATTTGCTAACCTCTGGCAGGGCTCCTCGGCTTAGAAAGGTATAACTGTGCTTACATCATTCATAGGATGTGGTGAGTGTTAACTGTTAGGGTCTGTGCAAAATGACCTGGCACAGTGTAGACACTTAGTAAGCATTGCTTGTCCCCGTGGCCCCTTCGTTCCTGGAAGTCTACATTGATTCCTTCCATGTCATCTTCTCTCCCCAGAACAGCGCACTCCAGTTGGGGTTAAGGAACAGGTCTAAGGTAAGGGTTCTGTCCATAGCCTGACTCCTTGTGACTTGAAAGTCATTTCTCGTCATGTTCAGAGCTCTGTTCTGAAGAAGAAATGCATGACCAAACAGTGGTTATGATTTGGGCATCACAGGAAAAGCTGGCTTTACAGAACTACCTACTGTTTGGGGAGCCTCTAAAGACAGCTTCTGATGAAAATACGTCTCCAAGGAGTTGGTCTGGTAATAATTAGCCTAATATGTTGCACTTTTGCAATGCCTTTTTCTCGAAGGATCTGCAGACATTTGGCAAACTACCATTAATCACATCCCACTGCCTTGATGTCAGGTAACTGCTAGCTGACAAACTTGTCTTCCCACCTGGATGCGGATCTGGGAGGTCCTGAGTCCTAGGCCTGCTTCTGCTTCAGATTTTTGTCTGGTATTGAACAACTTTTCTGAGCCTCAGTCACTTGAGATGTAAATTGAGGTTAATAATTTCTATTTGATCTCAGAAATCCTATTAAGACAAAATGCCCCCCGAATGGAAACACACTTTAAAAAGTAGAAATAACTTCCCAATGTAAGGGATGACAATATTACATTTGGGCAGTTGAGTTCAAGTTTAAGATCCAGCGCTATACCAAACAATAGACTTTTGTAGGCACTGAAATTTCCTGTTGCTGAAACTGGGGTCAGATGTCCAAGAGGCAGCTAGGAAATTGCTTAGAACACTGAGAGAATAATTGGCTTTATAATAATATTCTGCAAGCAGCCCATTTGCTCTAGGCTCACAAACTACTGACTGGATACCAGAGGCTCAAAGAATTCTCAGAGAATTTTCAGAACTTACTTAATCACCCCTGTGTCAGAGAGATTTTTCCCTCTTCTGAATTTTTATAACCATCAAAAATCTATCATACTCATGTGGTATTGGGTGAGGCAAGGTTAGGTTGCCCTTTATGACTTGAAACATAGCTCTGCCTTCTCGCCTTGGTGGTAGGTAAATGAGGGAAAGAATGGAGGAAAGTAGGTATTTGCAACCTCATATCCAGGTTTTCCTGATAGCTCAGTTGGTAAAGAATCCTCCTACAATGCAAGAGACCCCAGTTTGACTCCTGGGTCGGGAAGATCCCTGGGAGAAGGGAAAGGCTACCCACTCCAGTATTCTGACCTGGAGAATTCCATGGACTGTATAGTCCATGGATTCACAAAGAGTAGGACACGACTGAGTGACTTTCACTTTCATTTCACTTTCACCAGGCACAGTGCTTGCACTAGTGTGCCTTGATGATAATCATCAGTACCAAGAGGCTGGTTGAGTTAGTCTGCCACTTCTGACTTTTCAGGCTCTACAAAACACCCTAGAGTTGTAAATATAAGAAGAAAATCTTATGGTAGCGCTTCTGTGTGATGGGAGCTAAAGTCTCCCATCCAGAAACATCATACCTGTACCAGGCTGACTGACTTAACTTTTAATCTGCAGGGGCCTTGATAAACGCAGTCACTTCTAGTGATTTAATTAGTCTTATAAAGGATTTTTGGTGACTTGTCTGGAAAAATTTATCAAAAGTATACCCAAACGCTTTCAAAAAAGCCAAAATGCTATTATATTATTGAAAAATCAGAAGGCTCTTTGATGTGAGTTTCGAGAGAATAAGGATGTAGTTGTGAAGTACTTGCAGCTTCTCACTGTTAAAACAAATGACAGAGAAGATCTCAGGCTGCTTTGTCATGATAATTCATCACTCTAAGTATATCTATATCAATTTCTATTTCTATATTCTTCTACATCTGTATGGCTCTTAAAGTTTTTTAGCTTAAGCCTCTCCATTAGCTTGCACAGGGCTAGAAAGATATCATATGAAGAATGCCTATTGTGTGCGTGCATGGGTGCTCAGACATGTCTGACTCTTTGTAACCCCATGGACTCTAGCTCACCAGGCTTCTCTGTCCATGGGATTGTCCTGGAAACAACACTGGAGTGGGTTGCTATTTCTTCCTCCAGAGGGTCTTCCTGACATAGGGATTGAACCTGCATCTCCTAATCTCCAGCATTGGCAGGCAGATTCTTTACCACTGCGCCACCTGGGAAACCCAACGATGTATATTATGGCTCATAAAAGATTGAGGTTATCGCTCATCCAATGAAGGGAGATAACTGAGTAAGAAATGAACTAGTGTGTATCTGGTAAGTTATTGTAAAGGTAGGGAATAAACTTTAAGCCATCTGTCCCTAACTAATCAATATGCTATAATAATTAAGGTCACTATTTTTTCTTTTTTTTTTAAGTTGTCCTCTGAAATGGGGCCTGGAGTCTTACGGCATTAAATAGCCTCTGAGGCAAAGGCCGATTTCTTTCAGCCCCAAATCATGAATTTGCATCAGTATCATGACCCTGTAACTCGTCACCCAAACTATCCTCCGTCCTGGCAGAAGGCGGGCTGACTTTGACCACTTCTGCAGCCCTCACACTCTGCAGCTGAAATGGAGTTGACTATGTCATTGAAGCATTTCATGGGAGAGGGGAGGGATGAGCCGTCTCTATTTTAGGCGGAGGTTTTCTGAAAGCTTGTAAAGATAACGATCCCTAGAAGCCGCTTGCCTTCCCTCCCAAGCTTTGAGTTGTCTACTTCTGGTGATAAAAATGAGTCTTAGGAAGTCATGGAGTCCATCCCTCTGTCTCTAGGCTGGGTTATATGTTAAAAGTTCCAGAAAGATGGAGTCTTAACAATCCTCGTTCTTGATATCAACTTAGGGTTTACCAAGGATTTTATATACATCATTTCATTTACTGCTTTCCCACAATCCTCCAAACTAGTTATTACTGTCTCCATTTTACAAAGCACAGGGGAGGTGAGAGAGGTGGTTACTTGTTTGTACGTGCCAACGCCTGAGCACGGACCCCGTCAAATGTCCTGTCTACAGCGTTGCTGTGAATCTAGGTTTTCTCCAGGACAGGAGCTTCCACCACTTCCTTTTAGGTGCAACAGTCCTCGGAGAAGGCTGCTACCAACAAGCTCCTCCTGTCTCTAAACCCACATCCTTTGTTCCCTTCTGGTCTAATGCAAAGGGGTTTCCCTTCTTCAAGGAATAGTCTTAGATGGACCTAGAGTTTATAGCAGTTGCTCTTGTAGTTCATTGTCTCAAGGCTGAATACTCCAAGCTTCTTCAGCTTCTTCGTTCACTGGCTTGGAAGTCTATCAGTTCTGCCATTGGACATTCACGTCACTGGTGTGTGTTCTCAGCTGTAAGGCAATAGTGTCACACATCTGAGGGGTGCCTGTGAGGATTAAATCGGAAAAGACTTCTGAAATGCACATCTGAGAGGCATAATAAATTAACATATTTAATGTCCCCTCTTTTTTGTTCCATTTTTAATTTTTTACTTAAAAAAATTAAGTTTGTTATTTTGTATTGGAGTATAGCAAAGACCCTGATGCTGGGAAAGATTGAAGGTGGGAGGAGAAGGGGACGACAGGGGATGAGATGGTTGGATGGCATCACTGATACGATGGATGTGAGTTTGATTAAACTCTGGGAGTTGGTGAGGGACAGGGAAACCTGGGGTGCTACAGTCCATGGGGTCTCAAAGAGTTGGACACGGCAGAGCGACTGACCTGACTGAATTAAACTGAACTGAACAGCCAGTTAACAATGTTGTGATAGATTCAGGAGGACAGCGAAGGGACTCAGCCATACATATACAAGTATCCGTTCTCCCCCACACTCCCTAACTGTCCCTTTCCCCTACCCTTTCCCACGGCAACCGTAGGTTCTTTCTCTGAGTCTGTTTTGTAAATAAGTCTGTATCAGGTCTTGCCTTCCTCTCTGGCTTTTCTGTTGTGCTTGTAGATTCCCGGAGAGAAAGCGTACTCCCTGTTTAAGAGCATAGGTTGGTAGCCTGGCACTTTTCTAGGAAAGGGACTTTGCTTTTGATAAACTTCCGCAAACAAAACACTGAAAGAATCCCAGAAACACTCAAGGGGCACGTCAGGGGTTAGCGGTCTCTCTGCTGACTCAATGCCTTTTATCCTTGTATTATCCATGTGCACCAATTATAGCCCTAAAACATAGCCAGGAGGCACCACCTAAGAGCATTTGATTTATTAGTTTTATTAAACACAGATGCCTTTAATGTGGAGTTGTTTGTAGCCTGTGCTGGATTTCTAGCTACTTTATCGCATCTATTGGCCAATGTATGAATTATCTTCAAAGGACACGGCTTTGCTTTTTATCACACTTTCTCTCCAGCTACCAAGGAAGAGGTCACTTGGGAAACGCATCCTCTCATGGCTTTCACGGCGAGAAAGTAGCCTCGTAGATCAAACACGTGTTTGTTCTGGAATGGCGCAGCCGCCAGGCCAGGCTTGGAGGAGCGGGGCACTGCTCAGAAATTTTCATCCATCACTCACCAAGTGGGACCCACAGGTAAAGGCTTTGCTGGGAGATGAGTCCAGGGAATGGAGGGAGTGGGGAGGAGGTGTTCTGCAGTGGGAGCACGTTTGCTTTGGGGCCACAGAGGGTTTCAAGTCCTGTGTGCGCGGCAGAGTACTTTTACGATGTCAGAGGCAAATGACTGAATCGCCCTCAGCCTTGGCTATTTGATCTCTAAAATGGGATGAGCTTCCCCCAGCCTCCTTGCAAGCAGTGAGATTATCAACCAAGATGCATCCCCTTCCCCTTACTTTGGCTAATTACAGCCTCACCGGAGGGTCTTGACCTTGAGGTTTAGAGTTGGTGAAGGAGAGCTAGGTGGGAGAGTCAAGAATCTGTCTCACTATGGTTTGTTTTCATTGTGTTCAGTCCTTAAAAAAAGGATTTTCCATAAATGTTACCAATGTTCAACACTTATTTCATTCTTCTGTCTTCCCCTATTATATTTTTTAAATTGGAGGATAATTGCTTTGCAATATTGTGTTGACCTCTCTCCCTATTACATCTTAAGTTGCAACTGACTTCTCACAGCATCTGGCACCAGGGTGGGTGGTCAGAGAATCTTTTCTGAGATAAAGTTAAATGGGCTCTTTTCTGCACGTCAGTGATTATTTTGTTTTGTTTCTGTCTGGTCCAGCAGTCAGGAGGAAGATTCTAAGGGTACTGGCTTTTGAGTTCCATGCAACAGCCTAGTATCTTGGAAAGAAAAATGAGTGATAAATCAAGAGACCAAGGGTCCTGGGTTCACGCAGGTGGCTTGGAAAAGTCACTTAATATCCTGGGTCTTAGTTTCCTCCTCCATGACATGTGGATACTAACATTGGGTTGGCCAATTTGGCCAACCAGATAGAATTTACCTTATGAGGTTGTGGTGCAGGTTAATGAGTTACTTTATTGAAAATCTTGGAAGAGTGCCTGGCCTGTAAGCTTGTCTGAGTTTGTTACTGTCACTACCACTGCTATTATTAGTATTATTTTTGACTAGGTCTGTGATGTTGGGCAGAGTTCAGTTCCTCTCTAGCTACAATGTTTTGGAACTTTGATGAGTCCAGGGGAGTATTAAAAAGCAAGAAATAGAGGAAAAAAAAGGCAAGACAAGGCAGATCTTGCATGTGGGTGGCCTGGAGCTGAGTCCATCTTTGCTGACACTGAGCTTTGAGTCACGGTGTGTGTGAGTTCACGATGGGCCATCACCTAGGGCTTGGCCAGACAGCTCCTTTCCCCCTAGGGTAAATGCTGAAGCTGACAGATTGAGTCCTGTGATGCACTTAGCAGATAACCTCTCCTGGTTTGCAGCAATCTAAACTCATAAATACTGGGGGGAAGAAATTGCAACCCGCTGAACCTGGCCATCCACCTCAAGGATGAGAGTCCAGCTGGAAGTTTCCATCCAAGGAATGTTTTAGAGGGTCAGAGACCTAGAGGCTGAGGCTTCAGCCTGGGGCTGTAATTATTCGAATTGTATCATTCAGTAAAATTTTTCTACCTGCTAGGTGGCAGGGTAAAGGAACAGCAATAGAAGAGAGGCCTAGCTGTCATCTTTGGCCTTGAGCACATTCCGTCATCAAATACTTAATACGTCGGTAAATATGATGTGAAGGGTGGGGTGATGGGGCAGGTGGGGCTGACAAGGCTTCTTGCTTCAAGCAACGCCTGTCTTCAGGATGGATGGATCCTCAAAGGAATGGCAGAACTTGATACCTGCTGTGGGGTTGTGGAATGCAGCCCCAGGAGAAACACCTACAGAGGCATTTGTAACGCTGGTGGGGTGGGGTAGCCGCAGAGTGATTTACTACTGACAAAGGAATGCCTTGCTTCCATCGAAAATAGAATTTATTGTCACTCCAATGTGTGGTTTATCCAGACAGAAGAGCAACATTTTGTTAGAAATGGCTTGCCTGCTGTATCTTCCCCTGATGCCAGAATTATTTAAATAATCAAAGTTAGCATTTTTTAAATGGATACATTCTATTGTAGAACATTCATGTGGGAAAGCAGAAAGAAAAAATAAAATATTTTTTTGTAATCTGACGACCAAAGATAACAATTAACATTTTGTTACAATGCATTCTAGTTGCTGTTATTTTTAAACGTGGTTCAAAATGGTATATCAACATTTTAATTCTGGCTTTCAAATTTAGCAATTAAGCCTGAGCATTTCCATGTTACTGGAAAGGTTCATAAAGTGATTGTGATGAGGTTATAGTATTCTGTTGGTTTCTGTACTGAACTTTACTAAACCATAACGCTGCTGACAAAGGTCCATCTAGTCGAAGCTATGGTTTTTCCAGTAGTCACGTATGGATGTGAGAATTGGACCGTAACAAAGTTGAGCACCAAAGAACTGATGCTTTGGAACTGCAGTGCTGGAGAAGACTCTTGAGAGTTGCTTGGACAGCAAGGAAATCGAACCAATCTATATCAAAGGAAATCAGTCCTGAATATTCATTGGAAACACTGATGTTAAAGCTGAAACTCCAGCACTTTGGCCATCTGATGCAAAGAGCTGACTCATTTGAATAGACCCTGATGTTGGGAAAGATTGAAGGAGGTAGGAGAAGCGGACAACAAAAGATGAGATGGTTGGATAGCATCACTGAATCAATGGGCATGAGTTTGAGTAAACTCCTTGAGTTTGTGATGGACAGGGANCTGTTCGTTTCTGTACTGAACTTTACTAAACCATAACGCTGCTGACAAAGGTCCATCTAGTCGAAGCTATGGTTTTTCCAGTAGTCACGTATGGATGTGAGAATTGGACCGTAACAAAGTTGAGCACCAAAGAACTGATGCTTTGGAACTGCAGTGCTGGAGAAGACTCTTGAGAGTTGCTTGGACAGCAAGGAAAGCAAACCAGTCCATCTGAAAGAAAATCAACTCTGAATATTCATTGGAAACACTGATGCTGAGACTTAAGTTCCAAGACTCTGGCCACCTGATGTGAAGAGCCAATTCATTGGAAAAGACTCCAATGCTGGGAAAGACTGAGTGCAGGAGGAGAAGAGGGTGACAGGATGAGCTGGTTGGATGGCATCACTGACTCAATGATCACGAGTTTGAGCAAACTCTGGGATGGTGAAGGACAGGGAAGCCTGGGGTGCTGCAGCCCACGGGGTCACAGGGTCAGACACGACTTGGTGACTGAACAACAATGCGGGCAATGACTTCGTGTCTCCTCCTCTGTGACTACTGCAAGGCTCACGCACCCTAAGACATTTAACTCCCTAGTAGGCTTACACTGCTAATATCTCCCATGTTATAGGTGAGGAAATAGGTTAAATAACTTGCCAGAGGTCACTCAGCTAAATAGTGGTGGAACCACTATTTCAACAGAGACAGTTAGTGTTCTAGGGACTATTCCTGGCTTCTCTGCACTATGCAGCCTCTAGGACCTCAGATTATAGCTCTTTAAAAAATAAAACTACTGTGACAGAGGTGTCTTTTCTTCCATACAGGTTAGAACTTGGACTGCTGAACCAAGGAGGACCCTCGGGTGCGTGGATAAAGGGGCTGCCTGGCCAGTGGTCTGCCAGGAACCGAGAGACAGAGTGCTGGAGACAAATTCCAACTGAAGAGCCTGAGTAAGGATTTGAGTTAGAACCCTGTTTTCTGACTCTTCTCATTCTATTTTTCTTCCTGCTACTTCATGTGAAAAGACACCCAAAATCTTTTCAATAAGGAAAGACCACAAAATCCTTTAAAAGATCAACGTCTAGAACAAATTTTTTGTATGCAGAAACTCAGGCTTATTAGTTGTAGCAGATTATTTTCTCCCCATTTCTATCTTTATGTCTTCGATTAGCATGGAGTGGGCTTTTGTTGAGCTTTTAAAAGTCCCAGGAGAGG